ATATGTTCTTGATGTCATCCCACAACTCTTCTGTTCTTTGGCTATTAGTGTGTTATGCATCATATCTGTTCTTGAGATCAGGTGGGATATGTTCAAGATCATATTTTTTCTTTCATGGATTTGTTTTAATTTTTTTCAGTTTCAATATGAACTTGCATATGAACAATTAATCATCTGTTTCACAGTCTGCCCCTGGTCGTCTTTTGGCTGGTGATATGGAGCTTTTCCACTGTCTCTTCCCAAAGATGTACTGAGTTTGATTTCTGTGTGTGCCATCTGGTGACATCCATGCATATAGGTGTCTTTTTTGTTGTTGTTTTTTTTTTTAAATATTTGCAATAAGTAAGTCATTGGTCTTGCAAAATTTTATCATGCTATCTCCGCATTGTTTTTATCACTAAAGCCGTATTTTCCAACTACTAATCCTTACTCTTTGTTTACACCCTGCACATTCCAATCTTCAGTAATTGTCAGTACATCTTGATTACACGTTTGATCAATTTCAGACTGAAGAAATTGGTAGGATTCTTCAGTTTCATCATAATTGAATTTAGTAGTTAGTGTGTAAATTTTAATAATAGTGGTATTAACTGGTCTTCCTTGTAGGGATATGTATATTACCCTATCACAGCATTATACTTCAAGATAGACCTTGGAATGTTCTTTTTGATGAATGCGATACCATTCCTCTTAAGTTTGTCATTCATAGCATTATAAAGCAATATGATTATCAGATTCAAAGTGGCCAATACCAGTCCATTTTCACTAATGCATAGGATATCCATCTTTATGCATTACATTCCGTTTTGACAACTTCCCATTTTGCTAGATTCATAGTTTGTACATTCTGTGTTTCGATTATTAATAGATGTTTACAATTGAAGGTCCCAAAAGCTTTACTCTATTCCAGTCATCACAGTCAACTCTACTTTTAGAAGGCAGTTCTTCCCAAGTCTTGTTTTGAGTGTCTTTCAACCTGAGGGACTCATCTTCTATATTCGGGTTCTATTCACAGTGTTTCTTTCAGTAGTCAATATTCTGGTGCTATCCTCTCCTGTCATCTTCCTCATCTGTCTTAGACTGGAAGCTCACCTGACGCCTGTCTACCACAGGTGACCCTGCTGATATTTGTTGTTGTTGTTAAGTGCCTTTGAGTCAATTTAGACTCTTAGTGACCCTGTATAAGTTTTCCGAGGAAAAACTGGTAGGTGTGAACCACTAACCTTATGGTTAGGAGTCCAGTGCTTATCCTACAGTGCCACACCAGGACAGGTGGTATTTAGCCCTACGCTAAACAGGTGTGGCACTGTAGAATCAGCACTGAACAGGTAATCTTAAGATCAGCATTTCAAACTCACCAGCCTTTCTCAGAAATCCTATGTCAGGGTGATCTGAGCGCAGACCGATTCAGTGGCCCACAACAACAAAGTTAGAATTCTATTTTTTAGAAAACCACACTTAGTTAAGATTTTATTTTATATGAACGTCAAGTTTACTTCTTAATAAATTTTTTCAATAAATTCATGCTGTGATCTGAAATGTTTAGTAAACAGTAAAATTCTATATTGCAAAGAAACAAATTAAGATAAAGTGTTTGTTGTTGTTGTTTGTTGTTAAGTACCGTGGAGTCGGTTCCGACTCATAGCGACCCTGCACAGGGTTTCTGAGGCTGTTAATCTTTACGGGAGCAGAACACCTCATCTTTCTCCCGTGGAGCAGCTAGTAGTTTCAAACTGCTGACCTTGCGGTTCACAGTTCGATTCGTAACCACTACACTACTAGAGCTCCTTAAGATAAAGTGTAATCATTTTAAATCAGTCCTGTTTCATAGATACAGTTTTTGATTTAAATTAAATTTAACTGGTAGTTGCTACTCTGCTTGATCTAGTACAAAAGTTAAAAATTTAGTCTTTATGTTTACAGAGATAGTTTTAGGTGAAACCTGGTCTTCAGTCGAGGTCTTCTGGTTATCTCTCGTTCCCTGCCTATACTTCTCCACCCCTTCCCTCCAACCCATGCATACTGTGTCTGATACTGTGTTTGTATTGTTGTCAGTTGCCATCGAGTTGGTTCTGGCTCATAGGGACTCTACATTGTTGTTGTTAGGTGCCATCAAGTTGGAACCAACTTATGGCATAGTGACCTTATGCACAGCAGAACAAAACACTGCCCGATCCTGGGCCAACCTCACTATTGTTGCCACGCTTGAGTCCATAGATGCTGCTACTTGGCCAATCAAAACACTACTTAGTCCTGCACCATCCTCACAATTATTCCTATGTTTGAATCCATTGTTGTAGCCATTGTGTATATCCATCTTGTTGAGCATCTTCCTTTTTGTCTCGGACCTTCGTATTTACCAAGCATGATACGCTTCTCCATGGACTGGTCCTTCCTAATAATATGTCCAAAGTACATGAGACTAGGTCTCTCCATCCTTTGAAGGAGTATTCTGATTGTGTTTTTTCTAAGACAAATTTGTATTTCTACTGATTTAAGAGGTTAAAAATACTGTTAGGGAGTAATGCTGTGACATTTATACACAATCAAAGTTTTAGAGTTTAAGTGTATTAGCAAAAAATCAATTAGTCTTACATATAATTCTAGTGATCTTCTTGTGAAGGATCACAGCCATTAGGGAACACAGCGCTCCTCAGGAGCATGTGGTGTCACCATAGTCAGAATCGACTCAGCAGCAACTGATTTTTCGAACCTATTAAATGTTTAAGACAGTGATGATGTTTTGCATTTCCAACCTTGAAAATAATGTAATTGCTGAAGAAATGTTTGTCTAGCATTAATTGATTCCCGATTAACTTACTACTTTGAGAAAGCAAAGATGCCTTGTTGTTGTTAAGTGCTGTTGAGTTGGTTCCAACTCATAGACCCTGTTGTATTGGGCTTCCAAGGAATGGTTGGTGAACTTGAACCACTTTACAGCTAGCAATCCAGTGCTTATCCTACAGTGACACACCAGGACTCCTTAGATAAGCAAATGTAATTTGAAAACTTGATGATGTACTTTTATGTAACACTCACAGATTTTTGTTGTGAGTTTTCTTATAATTTGGGTAAGGCCAAATAAATATACATTGTTTAGAAAATGACAGTTCTATTATGTGATGAAGTTGACAGCAGTTGCCCAGTGGTGGAAGAGATGTGGAGAGAAAAATAGTAGGCCTAGAGAATAGAAAGGAAGAAAATACTGTGTAATGTCTAAAAAATAATATATAGGTTTTTTATATTCTGTTGAGTTTGTTCCAGCTGTGGGCGACCCCATGTGCACGGAGTAGAACTGTTGCAGAGGGTTTCCAAAGCTGTGACCTTGCGAAAGCAAATAGTCACGTCTGTCTTCTGAGCCATCTTCGGATGGATTTGAATCACCAACCTTTCAGTTGAGTGCTTAGCCATTTGTACCAGTCAAGGACTTCTAGAGGCCAAAATGTAATTCATGTGTATTAAATTTCAGCTCTTGCAAATTCATTTTGTAAGTTATGGGGCAATGTCAACTAATATCTTAAAGAAGGAGAAATGATAAGATCCTTAATTTCAGGATTTCCCATGGTTTGACTCTTTCATTAAATAAAAAGCTAAAGAAGGCTTTTAAGGGATACTTAAAGGAACTAGTGATTAACTGATGATAATACTGAGTTAGTAATATCATTATTGTTAAGTGTTGTCAAGTCGGTCTCTGCTCATAGCGACTGTGTATAAGGTTTCCAAGGAGTGTCTGATGGGTTTGAACTGACGACCTTACAGTTCAAACTAACCTTATGGCTCAGCTTATCCTACAGTGCCACACCAGTACTCCACAGTTGAGTGCTTTCACATTTATTTCATTTAATTGTAACTAAGGGATATCTCACTAAAAGCTTTTTAGAACTTTTTTTGAAAGTCGGTGGTGGTGGTCATGTGCCATTGAATTGGTTCCAACTCATAGCGACTCTGCATAGAGTTTCCAAAGCTCATCTTTCAACCACAGAGTGACTGGTAGATTTGAACTGCTGACCTTATGGTTAGCAGCCCAGCTCATAACCACCACTTTACCAGGGCGCCTTTTCTTTTCTTTTCTTTTCTTTTTTTTTTAAATTAAATGTTTTTATTTTGGATTGAGTGAAAGTTTACAGGGCACATCATCAGCTTCACATTCAACCGTTCATATAGCTTGTTTCATTACATTGATTATTATCCCCTCCATATATCATCAGTTAACAGTGTTTCTCTCTATCCTCTTTAGCTTTTTTTTTTTTTTTTGGATGGGGGGGAGGGGGGCTTGCCTTATTGGAATTTACAGTCTCGGCTTTTAGGGAAGGTTTTTACATTTGTCTGTGGATATCCAGGGCTCATGTATGAGATTACTAACGAGCATTACTGAATAATCAGATGAGGGACAGTTTGCTATGTCTACTAGGTAGCTAGAGTCTGATCCTCAGAGCCTATGGTTTGGACGGTCAACAACGCTTGGGCAGGGCGCCGTTTCTTGAAAGTATATATATATACAATATATATCACTAATAGAACAAACTAGTAGTCTATATTGTTGGGGACAGATATGAGGGGGGGCTTCAAAAAATTCATCGAAAAATTCCATTATCTTTTAATTTTATTTTCCACCAACTTTTTCAAGGTTCCTCAGATGACTGAAAGGTATAAAGCATAAATAGGAATAGCACCAAATGAAGACTGTGGTATTTTTGTTTTCTAGAATATGGTAGGAAGGCAAAAGGATGGATGGTGGTATATTAGCTAAATTTCTAATACTTTATTTTTGAAAATCTGAAATAAACTTGAGAAATGTTAGTTAAATCTGAGTGGTGGATACATGGGCGCTTGGTGTATTTGGCATTTTGTATATTTGAAATATTTGTTAGTTAAAATATTGTGCACATTTTCTAAGAGCTTTTTACATTTCTACAAGCCCTGTGAGCCAGATTTTATTATTGAAATATAATTAATATTCTTTTATCAGATTACTGATAACGTTTCTTTCCTTTTTACAGATAATGGCATCAGCTGCTAAGGATTTTAAAATGGACAGCTTTTCACCTAAAGCTGGCACTAGCAAATTGCAACAGACAGTACCAGCTGATGCATCTCCTGATTCGAAGTGTCCTATATGCTTGGATAGATTTGATAATGTTTCTTACTTAGATCGCTGCCTACATAAATTCTGTTTTCGCTGTGTACAGGAGTGGTCAAAAAACAAAGCTGAATGTCCATTGTGTAAACAGCCCTTTGATTCTATTTTCCATTCTGTGAGGGCAGAAGATGACTTCAAGGAATATGTCCTAAGGCCTTCATACAATTTTGCCACACCTGATGTTCGACGATTTCGCTACCGTACAACTATGACAAGGGACCGAAATACTGTTTATTCACCCAGTACTGTGAATAGAAGAACAACAACTCCACCAGATAGTGGAGTACTGTTTGAAGGGTTAGGCATTTCAACAAGACCCAGAGACGGTGAAATTCCACAATTTATGAGACAGATTGCAATAAGGAGACCTGCTGCTGGAGATGAAAGATCTTCGCGGAAGATTCAAGAGCAGGATATTATTAATTTTAGACGAACTCTCTATCGTGCTGGTGCTCGTGTTAGAAATATTGAAGATGGTGGCCGCTACAGGGATATTTCAGCTGAATTTTTCCGTAGAAATCCGGCTTGCCTTCACAGATTAGTTCCCTGGTTAAAACGTGAACTTACAGTTCTTTTTGGAGCTCATGGATCTTTGGTGAATATTGTCCAACACATCATCATGAGTAATGTTACTCGTTATGACTTGGAAAGTCAGGCATTTGTGTCTGACTTAAGACCATTTTTACTTAATCGGACTGAACATTTTATCCATGAATTTATCAGTTTTGCCAGGTCTCCTTTTAACATGGCAGCCTTTGACCAGCATGCTAATTATGATTGCCCTGCTCCTTCATATGAAGAAGGCAGCCATTCTGATTCTTCAGTTATAACCATATCTCCAGATGAAACGGAGACCCAAGATCTAGATATGAATGTAGCCACTGTTAGTCAGGCACCGTGGGATGATGAGACTCCAGGACCATCTTACTCAAGCTCAGAACAAGTACATGCTGCCATGTCTTCCCTCGTAAATACTTCTGACAGTTCGGATGAAGAGCTTGTAGCAGGAGGAACCACATCTCAGATACAAGGAGCACCAACCAATGAGGACCTAAATAATGACAGCGACTCTTCTTCAGATAACTGTGTCATTGTTGGATTTGTGAAACCACTAGCTGAGAGAACCCCAGAACTTGTTGAACTGTCTTCTGATTCTGAGGAGTTAGGCTCTTATGAGAAAATGGAGACAGTGAAGGCACAAGAACAAGAGCACTCTTACAGTTCTGGTGATAGCGATGTTAGTAGATACTCATCTCCACACTCTGAACTTGGGAAGGATGAGCACGAAAATAAAGGTCATTGTGATTCCGGTACAAGAATGAAATCAAAGAAGGAAGAGAAACGATCCACATCATCATCATCTCCCAGAGACCTGAGTTCATCTGTGAGAGGAGACAGACTATATTCCCCACATAACCATAGACATAGAAAAAGAGGAAGGTCAAGAAGTTCAGATTCATGTTCTCAGAGTAGAAGTGGGCACGATCAGAAGAATCGTAGAAAGCATCATGGTAAGAAAAGAATGAAAAGCAAACAATCCAGAAGCAGAGAGAGCAGCAGACCTAGAGGCAGACGAGACAAAAAGAGATCAAGAACTAGAGATAGTAGTTGGTCAAGAAGAAGCCAAACCCTGTCTCTAAGTAGTGAAAGCACAAGCAGATCAAGGTCTCGTAGCAGTGATCATGGTAAAAGAAGATCACGAAGTAGAAATAGAGATCGTTATTATTTAAGAAATAATTATGGAAGCAGATATAAGTGGGAATATACTTATTACAGTAGAAACAAGGACAGGGATGGTTATGAATCCTCTTATAGGAGGCGAACTCTGTCCAGAGCTCATTATTCTAGACAATCTTCAAGTCCAGAATTTAGAATTCAGTCCTTTTCTGAAAGGACAAATGGTAGGAAGAAAAATAATCACAGTGAAAGGAAATATTACTACTATGAAAGGCACAGATCAAGGAGCCTGTCTAGTAACAGATCAAGGACTGCATCAACAGGGGCTGATCGAGGGAGAAGTGAAAAGCCTGGAGGGAAACGAAAATATAAAACACGGCATTTGGAGGGTACTAACGAAGTGGCTCAACCATCCCATGATTTTGCTTCTAAAGTAAAGGACAGTCATTGTCAAAAGTCTTCCTCAAAATTAGATGGAAACTACAAAAATGAGAGTGACAGTTTTTCAGATAGCCGATCATCAGACAGAGAAACAAAGCACAAGAGGAGAAAAAGGACTCGGAGCCTGAGTGTAGAGATAGTTTATGAAGGGAAAGCTACTGATACAACTAGACATCATAAAAAGAAAAAGAAGAAACATAAGAAGAAGCATAGAAAACACCATGGAGATAATGCTTCACGGTCTCCAGTTATAATTACCATTGACAGTGATAGTGATAAAGATTCTGAAGTAAAGGAAGATCCAGAATATGTCAGTAGCCGTCCTCAAGACCCTGTACAAAATGAGCTTTTGGCTCCTTCCTTGGATCCATTTGAAAATAAAGATGTAGTTACAATAGAAGATGACTTTGGTATCTTGGACAAGGAATGTGATATCACTACACTTGCTAACAACTTAGATGATCCCAGCAAAACTGTAACTGATATTTCACCACAGGCATCTTCAACTGAACAAACCCTTGATGTAAGAGAAGAGAGCATCTTTGTCTCTGACTTGGAGAACCAGCCGAATAACGTATCTGTTCACACTGAACCATCAAGGCAGTTACCATCTCCACGGACATCATTGATGTCAGTGTCTCTTGGTAGAGACCATGCCATTTCTTAAAGCTGCCAAAGCATCTCAATGAGAATCCTGACGGTATAAAAGGAAGGAAAGAAAAAGAACTGTGTCATCTGCTACAGTCTATTTAAAGATGACTCTCGAAAACTATTTTCCCCTTAAAATATTGTGTTTTCTGTGTTAAAAATTTGTTTTTTTAAAAAAAAAAAAAGCATTTTGTTTGTTCAAAAGGTATGTGAGTCCACCCTCAGAGATATGCACTTTTAAGTGAAGAAAATGATGTTGCTAGCAGTTTATTTAAAACTTGGGCTCCTTTTTAAATAAAAAATATAAATTTTAGAAGTTATTTCATAAAGCCATATGGTATTGACATATTTTTAAAGTAGTCAATGAGTATTTTTGAATTTTTTTTTTTTTTTCTGAGAGTTATTCTGGAAATGTGTTATAAGCTAGGGGAAGGAATCCCTTTTGACAGTCTTTATTTTTCTTCTTAAAAAATTTGTATGGATCCAAAACCATTTCTTCAGGCTAAATTGAGGCATTTGGGATCTGCACAGTTTATCTTGACATTTACCAGAAGAAAAATTAAAACATTTCCTTTATATACTTGTTTATCTGGACTGCCAGTAAAACAAATGTGTATTCAGCTAAAGAAAAAAAATAATAAAACAGCAACACTTTAAAACAATAATCAAAATTTTTCTTGAAGTATTGCTTTTTGTTGATTAAATCCTTCAGTGGAGTTAAAATATAACAGCTAAGGATATCATTCTCTCATAAATAAAGAATTTCAGGTGATCTGCATTTAACCTCAAATTTTTAATAATTGTTCTTAAGTCTGATAATAAAGAATATCTTACTTGCTTTTTATCTTTAGTAAAATAGAGTTGTAGCATTTGTTGTTAGGTGCCATCGAGTTTGTTCCAATTCTTAGCAAACGAACTCTGCATAGGGTTTCTGAGGCTGTAACCTTTATGGGAGCAGAAAGCCTCGTCTTCTGTGAAGCGGCTGGTAGGTTTGAACTACTGACCAGTGCTTATCCTAGTGTCACCATAATTCCTATATGTAATATTTAGCTTAGTAAAAACAAACAAACAAACTACTGTTACGCTTCTGTTACATTGGTAGTTCTTTTACACCAAGTGGCTATGTGTATGTTTTATCCTGCTTTGGGTGGTGGTGGTTGTGCGCCATTTTGGTGACCAACCTGTGTAAGGTTACTGAGGCTGTAAATCTTGATGGGACCAGAAAGCCTCATCTTTTTCCCTCAGAGTGAATGGTAGATTCGAACTGTTGACCATCTGGTTAGCAGCCCAGCTCGTAATCTACAATCTCAGAGCTCCGTTAATCCTGCTTTGGAGCTGATGATATTGCTGTCTATCAAGCCTGGGGTAAGATCGTCAGTGAGCCCTGTGATGATCTAAATGTAGCCTTCAGGTGACCTACTACCATAGTGAACAGTATTGAACAGATACTGGAATGCCTGCTGTGTGAAACAAGTTCTTCTATACTAGGTTTTCAGGGATTCACTGATAGAGAAAAGCAGACATGCTTCCTTCCTTCGGAGGATTACAGACTTTGAGTCTACTATAGTACGTTCTCTGGAGAAAGTATCATTTAAAAGGCCCAGGTTTCATATAATGGAGTCTCAGGTAGAAGTGAGGATTGACTTGGGATCCAGAACGTAAGTAGGCATTAACCCGTTTGTGACCCGTGGTACATACATCACACCCTAACCTTTTCAGCCTTCGGTTTTTTGGGATGCATGTATTCTGGTGGTTGTATGTGCTGCCGCCTAGTGGGGTCCTCTATAACTGTAGAGTCTGAAGAAGTGAAGAACTCTGTCCTACCACCAGAGTTCATTTGGGACATACATATTTCACATAATTACATCAAAATCTGTATGACCTCAAAATTGTTTTCCCTTGATTTCAGCATGCCTTCCATTATTTGAAAACATGTAGTTATCAACAAAAATTTCAAAGCAGGAAACAGTTTGGTCATGAAAAAGGGAATTTGAAGTACAGCTGCTGTCCAGCTAGAGAGGAGGCTAGCGTGTTCTAGGAACTCAAAACGGGTAGCCAAAGGACAAAGTGGACCAAGCTTTGTAGACCCTGTTTACAGTTTGTATTTTATCCTTGGGCAGTAGGAAACTGGCTCACAACTGCAAGAATCTAAAATTAATGTACACAATTTATAGTAAGCTCAGGCATTAAGAGATTTAGTTGTTAAAGATTACTTTGTACTTTAATTGGTTTTTCTTACTATTAAAACAGAAGAATGCTATTTTATTTGATACCCTGATTTTACATTGTGGTCAGTTAAACATTTATTGAAAACCTAGCTAGATTCATATCACCATTATTTTAGGTGTTCAAATAAAAAGTTTACAAGCCTTTGATTTCTTCACCCCTTCAGTCCCCTCATCCATTCATCAAATCCTGGTCATTAATTTTGTATTTAAAAAATATTTTAGTTGTGTGTACGTAAGAAAAACTGTATCCTTACTTAAATACTAAGTAGCTTCCTATTAATTAAACACACGTACCCCAACAACTTGAGGTTATGTGTAATTGATAGAGGACTCTGCATAGTCCCTGGGGCTGTAAATCTTTATGGGAGCAGAAAGCCTCATAGTTTTCCCCTGTTATGTGCCATGGAGTCAGTTCCGACTCATAGTGACCCACACAGGGTTTCCGAGGCTGTAAATCTTTACAGGAGCAGACTGCCTCATCTTTCTCTCGCGGAACCGCTGGTAGTTTCGAACTGCTGACCTTGCGGCTCACAGCCCGATTCTTAACCACTATGCTACCAGAGCAACTTATTAAGTACCATGGAGTCGGTTCCAACAATCCTGCATATGGTTTCCAAGGACCAGCTGGTGAGCTTGAACCGCTGACCTTGGGGATGAAACAGACTTTACAGTCCCACGCATTAACCCACAGCACCACCCCAGGACTTCTTGGAGCAACTGTTAGTGACGGGGAGTCAGTTTCAACTCAGCAACCCTGTCTGTATGTGTTTCTTGAACCCACCTTGCAGGTAAACAGCGACCTTGTAGTCCAGCGCATTAACCTGCAGCGCTACACCAGAGCTCCCCTTGGAGCAACTAGTGGGTTTTAATTGCCGACCTTGTGGTTAGCAGCCAAGTGCATCTGAAAGTGCCAACAACTTAAGTGCCATCGAGTCTGTTCTGACCCATAGCGACCCTGTATAGGGTTTCCCAGGACCAGCTGGTGAACCTGAACCCCCGATCTTGCAGCTCCAAACCGAGTGCAGTGAACCCACAGCGTCACACCAGAACTCCCAACAACTTGATAAGGGTCTATAAATCTGTGCCATATCAGGCTCTGGTCCGTCACCTCACTGGCTCTAGTTGTATTATGATGTACTGCTTCCTACTACTTCAGAACCTTCAGCATGACTTTCTTTTATGAGAACTGCCTTCCGTTTTGTTGGAGTCCCCTTGTGGCTGTACGATAAACACTGGACTGCTAACAACATGATGTACAGTTCAAACCCACCAGTGGCTCTTGGGAAACCGTATACAGGGTCGTTTAGAGTGGAAACTGACTCGATGCCACTTAAAGATTTGTGTGTGCACCATCTCCTCACTATTCCCCTGTAATTGCTCATATGAGACTGGACTCTTGGAGCCTCAGCACAATTTGAATTGGTTTCTAAATGTCTTATCCCCACTGGTCTGATGGTTCTTTCACAGCTCCATGTGGGTGCACTGATACATCCTCATTTGCTATTTCATATTGTTGAGTTGGTTCTGACTCATAGTGACCCTGGATAGGGTTTCTGAGGAGTGGCTGGTGAATTTGAACTAACTTTGTGGTCGAGTGCTTTTCCCACACCACGACTCCCAAGGAGCAACTGGTGGATTTGAAAAAAACACACTTATTGGATGAGTAAGTACTAGGGATTTAAGAAACTGGCCAAGATCTGCTTTCAGGAAGCTCTACTGTAAACTTTTAGCTGAATGTCTTCATGTGAATTCATTGCACTGAGATTTTATTTTACTTCAATTTTCCATATTTCTGTGACTGGTAGGTATGTAAAGGAAATACAGTTGTGCTCGTTGATAGCTCCACTGGCTCATTTAGTGAAATCTTGTTTTTTACTTCCTAGTTGTGGCACTGTAGGATAAGCTCTGCACTGCTAACTGCAGGGTCGGCGGTTCAAACTCACCAGTTCTTTGAAAACCTATACAGGGTTGCTGTGAGTTGGAACCGACTCAACGGCAATTAACAATAACTAAGTAGTAAGGAGCCCTGGTGGAGTAGTGGTGAATGCCTGGATGCTAACTAACCAGCCTGCCACCCCATGGGAGAAAGATGCCTGGGAACCCAATGGAGCAGTTCTGTTCTGTCCTGTAGGGTTGCTAAGAGTCGGAATTGACTTAATGGCAGTGGGTATGGATGTAAGTATAGATATGGATCACATAATGTCTGTTCAAGCAATGTCCAGCTTCATATATCTCCATGACCCCATAAGGTTGTAATACAAGGGGAACTCAAAAACCTTGTGGAAAAAGTAAAGGCCCTCTCTTAGAGTTCAGAAATCCTGATGGCAGGACAGGACTTTGTGCAAGTACTTTGCTAATTACAAAGATCTGATCTGTTTCTCACTAGCTCTCAGAACCTGTGTCCACCTGGCCTTGGGGCAGTAGGGTGAGGGGCTTCTGGCACCCATCCCCAACTGCCTATTCCACCACACCACAAGCAAGAGCATTGTAGACCCTGCCACTGCCCCCTCTGCCTGGCACCCTGTGCATGATACTTGGGCTCCAGGCCTTGATCCCTCTCTTGGTGTCCTCTGGTCTACAGAGAAGGTGGAGGAGGAGGGTCAGGCAGGGCTGGAAGAGTCTAAAGCCCAATGAGGTGTTACTGGGGCCAGGAAAGGCAGACTGAGAGGAAGGAAGGGAAGAGAGCTGGTGATGGGCCAGCAGGCATCTGCCTCAGCTCAGAGACCTGGCCACAACCATGAAGAAAGAAGCAGTGCAGGAACCAGACTTTCACATGGTCCTGCAGTGCCTCTTTCCTGTATATAATGTGTCTCATAACACCCAGACCACATAACATACTATTTCATAGAACATATAAGGAGCTCTGGTAGCGTAGTGGTTATGAATCAGGCTGCTAATCTCACAGTCAGCAGTTCGAAACTACTAGCTGCTCTGTGGGAGAAAGATGAGGCTTTCTGCTCCTGTAAAGATTTGTAGCCTCGGAAGCCCTGTGCAGGGTCGCTATTAGTCAGAACCGACTCCACAGCACATAACAACAACATAGGAGTCCTGGTGTGGCATTACGGGCTAATATACTGGACTGAAAGGTTGGTTTGAAATGCAAGGTTGGTAGTTCAAGCTCACCAGCTGCTCCTTGCTTATTATGAGTTGAAACTGCCTCGGCAGCACATTACAACTGCAATTGTAGACATTGAGCAATGTGCTTCAGTCAAGTTCAACCTCAACTCTCCAGTGAGGCCTCACTAAACCGTGATGGACAGTATGTGCATCATACTGGGGGATTTAAAGGGCAGCAGAGTACACCTCTGGACTTGGAAAAGTTTTCAGAAGGTGCTCAGAAATCCTTACCTGCTTTAGTTTGGGCTGTCATTAGCCTTAGGGTGGGGTAGGAAAGGCAGGAAGAAAGGAGGGATGGGGTGGTTTCTCCATGTCACGTGGGCTCAAAATTGTGATTTCATCAGTTTAGAGCATGGATTCATTTCTAACAGGAAGGTCATTGTTGTTAAGTGCCTTTGAGTCAGTTCCGACCCATAGCAACTCATATAGGGTTTCTAAAGAGCAGCTGGTGAGCTTGAACCACTGACCTTGTGGTTCAAACCAATTTTGGAGTCCAGCCAAACTACAAAGGGCCACACCAGGACTCCAGGAAGCTCATTAGACCTCTGCAAAATAGAAATGTTAATTGATTAATTTACCATGATAATGTCACTAAGACCAGAGTGTGTATAGACCTGAAATCTACAATGGAAGCTAGATCATAACCATAAGGTTGCATCATGAGCATGGAATCAAGAGTTAGTCAACTATGTGACTTCAGTCTAAGATTTTTATGTCTACAAGCCCAGCCTTGCAAAAGCAACTAGAATACTTGTCCAGTGACTTTGCCTCTTACTCTTGCCATTGTGATTTTCCCCTTTTGTTGACTGTATGTTGCTGATAACTCACTGACACTCAAGCAGGCAGCTTGTGGGTCTGAAGAGGCTCAATAAAACAAAAAAAATATTTTTTTTAGCTATTTGTTTTAAAATGACTTCAAACTTAGAGAAACATTGCAAGAATAGTACAAAGAATTCCGTATTGGCTCTATGCAGCTTCACCAGTGTTTACCAGTTGACACATTTGTGTGTCATCCTTTCTCTGTGGTTATTTTTTTGGAACCATTTGAGAGTAAACTGCAGAGCCCATGTTGTTGTTTGTGCCATGGAGTCAGTTTTGACTCAGTGATCCCGTATAGCTAGGATGGGGAAACATTTTCTGTCAAAATTTATAATATCGTTTGCGGGCCATACAAAAGTATCAACTTAAAAATTAGCCTGCTATATTGGCCAAGCATTTAATTCTCAATGACATGTAACAACAACAGCAACAACAACAATGTAATGACTGGAACTTCAGTTGCCTTGGCAGGGCCAGACGTTTCCCACCCCTGCTGTATAATGTTTCCGAGGAGCAGCTGGTGAGTTAGAATTGCTGACCTTTTGGTTCAAAGTCCATTGCTGATCCTACAGTGCCACACCAGGAGTTCCTTCCTTTACCCCCTAAGATTTCAGTGTGTATCTCCTAAAAGCAAAGGTGTGCATGGCCATAGTACAGTTATCAAATTGAGGAAATCTAAGATTGATACAATAATCTACAGTCTATATTCTAATATTACCCTCCCTATGTGGATTCTCTGGGCAAATTGTTGAATGATGTAGAATGCATCAAGAAAAGATGGAATGAATACACAGAGTCATTGTACCAAAAGGAAATGGTTAATGTTCAACCATTTCAAGAGATACCATATGAACAAGAGCCAATGATACTCAG